AGGTAAATGTTCAGCTTTGCAAGGTTTCTTCCAAAGCTATCCAGACTGGTCCAACCTGTTGCTTGTTTTAAAGCTTTTTAGTTCTGGTGGAGACTGATGTATTCTGAGGCTGCTTGTTAAGCTGAAACTCATGTAAATATTCTACTTTACCTATGAAATGTACTGAAGCTTACAGCTTTTGTTATTTAGTTTTCAAATATGCATTTCTGTACTGCATCCTCAGCCTTAATTCTGTGCTACTCTGAAGTCTTTGAAGAATAAAATTGAAAGTAGCATTTTCTGAAAATTGTCATGATGTAGGAATATAGTATGAACTTGAACTTGGCTTATCTGAAATCACTTTTTTTAATAATGTTTCATACATTAACATTTGCTGTAAGCTGTACATTTTCTTGTGTTTGTTCCCTTTAATCAGAGTTTCATGTAAGTTCCTATATTAATACGTTAAAGGAGGTCAGTGAATCAAAAAATATAATAGGGATAATTTTAAATGCAGATAGCTATGATCAGAATAAAGGTCCCAGCAACAGTCATTATTAAATAGCCACTTTTATTCAGAAGGCTTGCAGAGCTCTTGTGGTTACTAAACAACATTGCAAGTGAGGTCAGACTTTGAGGTAAATGGTTCTACTGGCTGAAAGAATGATTAAAAGTAAGGTTCAGCTTCATATATGGGCACATCATCTGTAGCAACTGTGATTTATTTCCAGTACTTGGTTAACTGAAAAGATCTAAATCCTTCTTTTTTCTTCAGGTTGAATATAAAGACTTTCCAAAAAATAACAAGAACGAGTTTGTATCTCTTATAAACTGTTCCTCTCAGCCACCACTGATCAGCCATGGAATTGGAAAGGATGTAGAATCTTGCCACGATATGGTATGATGAGTATTGCTGAAATGCTTTGTCTCTGGCCTTCAGTGAACTAAGGGGTGCAGCAGATAGACCAAGGTTTCGTATTACTGCTGGATAGCAGTGAATTAAATCCTGTACAATTCCTTGGCTAATTTTTGACTGATATTTCACAGGTTGCTGAAAGAATTTCTTAATAATATAATCTAATCTAAATAACCTTTAACATGCTTAATGTATGCCCACGATTTTTGTCTACAAAAACCACATTTGCTTTATCTTGATATTATTTGCAAGAGCCCATATTAAAGAAAATGTATGAAAAGGAACTTTTAAAACATAAGAGCATATGAGCTTATTTTCTGTGACAGAATGGGCTGATATTTCATTGGGAACTGTAATACTGGAATTCATGTTACCAGACTTTCTGCTGGAACAGAATCCAAAATGGAGGAAAAGCAATTCACCATTACATAGCAGGAGACACCAAATCTGTTAAGCTCCCTTTATAAGTAAGATCGTTTATTAACAGTAACTGAAATATTTCTTTGTGAAAGGATGAGTCTTCTAGACTGTAAACTGTAAGGGACTTTGTAAAAGACATTACGTATTGCTAACAATATGTACACAGTCTATTATCATTTTTAAAGTTTCATTCTTTTGGGATCCGGTGGTGACCTGAGTACTGGCTGCAGACTAACATAGTAGTTTGCAATATGTAAATACAGTTAGGAAAAATTGTTTTTACTGATTTTTATACTAAAAAAAAATACAGTAATTTTCTAATGTCTATAATTTGATACCTATTTCTTTGATCTTTGTCACTTAATTTTGACATTTTCATACCCATCTCTACATCCTGCTGTAAAGAGCTCCTGTAAGACTAAGCACACAAGTCAGCGCAGTAGGTGGAAGGGAGAAGGACACCAGTTCAGAGCTTAAAAATTGCTAGTGGGCCAACATGAGAACTTTCCTCTCTTCAGATATTCCGCTTTCACTAATGCATGTGCCATAACTAACTGGGGATATTCTGAAAACATGCACCTGAAATTGATCTGAATAAAGTTGAAAAACATTTTCAGTTCTCAAATGAGGTGACTGACTTTAGCATTAGCCATGTCATGTTGACTCTTCTTTTAAACAGTCACATGTGCAGGATATGTGTTGTATTTGTGATTCTTGTGTAACTTGATTTCTTTTTCTTCAAATGACTTTTTGGTTCTGTGTATTTTAATGTCCATTGTCTTAAGCTCTGAACACTTTGAGCCATTACTAATTTAGTATCTTTTTCCTTGATATTCATAGTACTGTTGAATTAATTTTCCCCCGTTGCTAAAACAAATGCAGTGGGAATCCCCTAGCCACAGCAACATTCTATTGTTGTAGCAAGAGGAAATTCTACACCATTGCATTTTTTCCACCATAATTTATGCATCTTAAAAAATATATTACCAAAATTAGAACATTTACTTTAAGTGAGTCCTGGTCCTGCTTTCACTAAATTCAGTAAATGGACGCAGGTTGAACTGCTGAATGCTCTCTTTTCTTTAGGCTGCGTTGAATATTTTAAAGTTGCTGTCTGAGTTGGACCAACAAACCACAGAGATGCCAAGAACAGGAAATGGACCAATGTCTGTGTGAGTGTGACCCATTGACTTTCCCTTGCATTAACAGAAACCTCTAACCCTGTGATGTTCTATAAGCAAATAAAATGTGAGGGTTTTTTTTCTTTGCCAGAAAAGTTAAAATGCCAAGGCTGTTACCTTCTTCAGACGGATGAGAGGGTAGGTTTTATGATCAAGCTTGTAATTTTCATGTGTCAAATGCAAATTACTAAGCAGAAGCGAGTGGATCAAATGTAGTGGCTGTGATCCAGAGCAATTTTGACTGTGATCCCTCTGCTGAAATTCTTTGTTTACATATATTTGTAAATAGTGTGACTTTTTAGTGTGTTTTACGTGATACAGCTTCTCCTCTCTTTCTAAAAATCTTCTGTGTGTAAAATGTAAACAATGCGTAGGTCTCACAGCAATCTAGCCTCTCATTTAGATAATAAGCTGTCAAAACGGTGGAATTAACAAAGTGCTAATTGATTAAAAATGGAGGCCAGTTATATGGAAACCACTTGTTACGCACCTCAAATTCTTTGTATCTGATTTCGAAGCATCTTATTTGTTGGAATAGTGTTTTATCTCCTAAGTAACAGGTGTTTTCTGATTTGTAGATGTGTGAAACAAGAAATGGAAAGTGACCCTCTTCTCAAACCGGCTAACTCAAACACTTTGGGACAAACACTGGACAGCACTGCCTAAAAATGGCTTTTGACTGGACCCAAACCTGAAAGCACCAGAGAAAATCAAATGCTTCCTATTGATGTAACCTAACTGTTTTAGAGTGCTACAGTCTTTACAACCTACTGTAGTGTCTAAATCATAACCGTTGCTTTTTCTTCAAACAGTGATAAATTTTTAGTTTCATTATGTTGTTTTGATTGAAATGACACTATAAATTTTTCATTTAAAAGTTTCTTAATTGTATCTAGGACAATAGCACAGTTTAGAAACTTTGTCTTCTGAGACTGACATGTTATCTGTGAACTAACTTGGGAAGATCATATCCATGTATGTGGTTGTTTTTATTGAAATATCAAAGTTTCACTGGAAACAAATTGTGTGCCCACCATTTTTTAAAGTCCAGTATTTTCACAAACCTAGCATAATTATCCAACGGTTGAATGAATTAAAACATTTTAGGAATTTTAAACTTTGTTTGATCGTTTTTGGTTAATTTCTAGTTTTCTTGAGTGGGGGGTAGGGGAACTCGAATGCAACATGACTTTAAATGATCTCTGATCTATGTTTTAAGAATTGTGTGTATAGATGGCACACAGCTCACTACATTACAGGATATGATCTCAATGTAGTGCATATAAAACCGCAGATTGATTTTCCTTGAGTGCTTTATACTGTTTAATTACATCTCCATGTAGGGCTGAAAAAAATTACCTATGTTTATATATAAACTGTGTTGCTTTTGATGTTGTGTTATTGCGCACTGAACTGTGCGCAATAAAGTTTTTTGCATATGGTCCAGGTAAAGCACGATAGCCTTGCAAGTTAAGTACTGCTTCAGTTCATTGTTTACGCTGGAATTTTTTCTCCCCATGGAATGTAAGTAAAACGTAGTGTTTGTCACCAATAAATGGTAATACTAAATTTTTTTGGTTAATTTATTCTTGTATGCCACTACAGGGGCTGCTTTTTTATAGGATTTGTAATGCTTGTGATATAGTACGGGCAGTATTGTAAAGCTATGGAGTAACTGTACAATGGTTATCAATTACATATAAATAACTACTATTTAGTAATGTGGAAGATGTGAAAACCTGGCGAGGTCAAGGAAATTCAAAAGTAATGTGGGTACATTTTGTTATTTGTGCCACAGTGTGTTAGTGCAACTGTATTAATGGGAGCTTAAACTAACGTTATGATTATGACAAGAAACCTGGCACAACAGGTTGTTATGATTTCAAAGTTTAAGTCTCTACTTTTAAGTTTCCTTGTTTGCTTGTAATTTGAGTCATAACCTTGCCTTGCACTTAGTAATTTTGGGGGGTAGTACTTTCAAAACAAAACTTTCCCTCTAGCAACAAAAACTGGCACCATAGATTGACACATGACAGTGTATCATTTGGATGTGAACTACATTCAGTGTGTACTCACCTGGTCATCTGTAGCAGCACTTCCTAAACGCCTGTTTGCAGTGTGTGTAGTAACTCTTGTCACAGAAAGCAGTTACTGCATTTGCTGTGTCTCAAAGCTAAATGTCTTGGCCATTTTATTTGCATTATCAAAAGCAATTGGGCCACATTAACTGCATACCAAATTTTATTGAATCAAGTTGGTTTTGATCATTATAAGCGAAAAAAACATTGTAAAGTTTTTTGGTTTTTTGTTTTTGGTTTTTTGGTTTTTTTTTTGTTTGTTTTTTTACATTTGTAGAACTAAAATGCTGTACATTTAAAAATTAAAAGAAACTTGCTAGGCTCAGGCTTTGTATTGTAAATTCTTACAACATAGAAACTACTTACTAAACAATTTATATTGGAAAACAGATCCCACATTGATAGCAGTGTAAATGGTCTCCCTACCTTTATCTGCTGCTGTTTAGGAGTCTTCTCTTTGGATGGGATTAGAGCCTGTTCTTCTCACTGTTTTGCAGCATTCATTTGTTGATGATGCTGTGTTTCATATGAACCTGAATTAAGGTACTTTGCCGTAGATACCTCTGTTTCAGTACTCTTAAATGCATCTATCATCTTAGAGGTGCTATGTTAAGAGAAGGTTCTTTCATCAAAGACCTTGTAATCACAGCCTTGTGATGGAAGACTTCAGGTCACGATGTGGGTTCTAGGTAAGCCAAACTGAGTTCTGGTCAAAAGTGTGTTTCTTCCAGAGCACTACAGTCACTTGCTTTTTCTGTTGTCTCATCTGTGCTTGATGCAGCAAAGCTAGGAAGAATGATTACAAATTATATGTAATCGCCTGAAGGCTTTATATGACACTTTGGTTCAACAGGTACTAAAATGTTCTACAAAGAATACAAATGTGAGAACTGAGGTGAAGGGGAAATCCTCTGGCTGCAGTAGTCTAGCAGGTTAGTGTTGCTTATAAAGCCTACTTTTCTGAGTCCTAGCAAAGTGCTGTCTGCAGGACACCTCACTTTTTTGGATTCTTTCTTTGAAGTTTTAACTTTTGGTTTTGATCTTAAGAAACCTTTTGACTGCAAGTGAATGAGCTGCAGCTTCCAAATATTAATATCATTGTACGTTAGCTTGGGCTTCATGCCACACATTTCAGTAATGATCCCATTATAGCAAATTTTAGTATAGGGTCTTTTCCAAAATTACCTTCTCGTATTCAGATCTTAATTGGTTAGAGTTGTTCTCCCACAAGCATATTTTACCTGGCATTTTTCTCCCCATTATTTTATTTGTCTCTGCTTAAATTACCACAAGCATTTCACTAAATTAATGCATTTTTTCCTATGTTTCTCCAAAAGTATTTGGCAATATGGTAGTACTAATCTGAGTGTTCCAGAATCTGCTGTATATTTAGTAAATTGTGAAATTTTGCACTCAAAATATTCAGTTCGGTTCAGCTACAGACAACCTCCCTTTAATCACTTTCAAACTGGAGTAAGGAAAACAAAAGTATTTAGTCTGCTAACAACTGAGATAGTGATCTTGTTTCTTTTCAGAATTTACCACCTTATTATCCCAGCCTCTTAAATCATACAGCCTGCAAGTAGGGCTGCCCTTAGGCCACTGTTTCGAGTGCAGAGGAAGGAAGGAGGGCTGATTCTAAGGGGCTTCCACTCCTGGTTGTGGAGTGAGGGGATTCCTGAGGCGGCAGGTCCCTGGGGGTAGGAGATGTGATGTGGCAGACGGAGTCGCTAATTTCAGTCTTGTTAATTTGGACCTTTTTGAATGTGTGCTCATCCCACTTCCAAATGTGGAACATATACGCTCAAAGGAAGTAGCTGAGGAGTTTGGAAACCAGATTCTGGAAATATTTATGTTAATTTTCCAGTAGTTAAGCTTGTAAAGAAGATCAGCAGAGACCAGACAGTGTAGGTAATACATTTTCCTTCACCAGAGAAAATATCCTGTCTGCCTGGACTCCCTCATACGTCTAGACTTTGACAGACTCCAATCTTCATGTTGTTATTTTCTAGTATTGGAAATCAAGCACTCATTAACTGTTTTCTCACATTTCAAAGCCTTAAGCCAGCCTCTAAATTCTAGCAGCTTTTGCATTGCTTTCCTTCAAGCCTTTTATTGGTACAAGTATGCAGTTGCACTTAACAGTGGCTCTTGTCGAAAGAATGATACTGTGCCACTGTTCTTTGAAGAGGTGGAGTCAGATGTCTGGTTGTAACCTGAAGGGTAAGAACTTGGAATAGTGGCTTTGTAGGTGTGTTGCATATGAAACCTGACAAGTAAAGCACTTTCCAGTGCTGTGTTATCAAGCTTAAAGACTGCTGCTCAGGTCTCCTATTTTAAGTAACAAGTTGCACTCTGAAGGGGGTGTACAAGGAGGAAGGTAGTCCATGTTCACCCATGAATTTTAGAGTATTATCTGCTTTCTTGAATGGGTCAGTTTGCTATCCTTGAGACAAAACACTGCATCACATCAAAGTTAAAGGGGAATCATTAAAATTGGTCAGAAATTTTTTTTAAAGCAGGTTGTTAGTAGGAAGTCCTGACTCCTCAAAGGAAGAAACATGACTTTTCATGATCCACCATTCTTGGTTGCAGGATGGAGATGGTAAAGAAAAGTAGTATTTGTGCAAAAACTATTTCTGGGAATGCTGACCTGTAGGATAGCTAAAATGTGCCTACAGAATGAGAAGCGGCCTGGGTTCACTGCAATACCTGTTTGTTCCATAATATTAAAATACATTCCCATAACTTTTTGTTGCTTGGTTTTAGGATATAGACAGCTGATATCTCCTTAGGATAAATCCTATCAGAAAGGACTCAGCTGGGGCGTCTGGAGTCAGCAGGGTAGTTATTCATGTTCTCAATTCTCTGGCCAAATTTTAGTAACATACATCAAAGTTAAATGTAGATGCACTCAGAGTTCCGCTGCAATTACTATTGCCTAAGGAACAAACCAAAATTCTGTTCTAACCCACTGATCAAAGTTAAGAATAGTTTTATTCTGTCCTAATGTATAAAGACAACTGGTGGAGGTTTCAAAAGTGCCTAACTGCAGGAAGGGATAGGATGTGTGTATATTACTTCATAACTCTTCTTCTGTGAAGCAACCACATAAATGTTTGCTGCTTTTATTTTGAAAGTCTGCAGACTGAAACCAACAGAGTAAGGGTGAATCAATGTAATATCATCCTTAAGGTCTTCAATATATAAGTGATTTTATTTAGATGACTCTTCTGTTTAAGATCAGACAAAGAAATGCTGCTCCTCCAGAGGTGGTTACAAAGCTGAAAATATTCAACTTCATCTCTGTGGCTGTGACATGCTGTATTGCTTCCCTTTACCTGCTGACTGGATACATACACTTATTTAACTCAGGAACTTCTGAGCAAGAACCTGAACATCCCATGGAAGGAGGTTGAGGAAGAACATTAAGTTCTTAGAGCAAATTAACATCTCTAGGGTATTCATTTAACCTCTGGATTAGAACTGAATAAAAGCATACAGATGGTGAATAATACTTATCCAAGAGTGTATTTTATTCTCCGACAAAACAAATTATTTTGTATATTGCTAGCACTATCCTAATGCAACAAAATTGTATTTGATTAGAAATGAAAAAATAATAGTGCTTTTAAAAATTTACTCATGCTCCCACTTCTAATTTCACAGTATTTTTTAGCAACCTGCTACTAGAGGATGTTTTAGATTTTTTAGATGTCTCATGTTAATGATGTAGAAAATATTCTTTGCAGAGTATGCTTTCATCCTCTGCCACCATTGTTTCATTTATCTTTACTGTTTCCAACTGAAAGATAGTCTTCAATTGTCGGTGTTTCTCTTCCTTCAGAAGGGAGATTAGTGCTCCCAAAGAAGACAATCCCAACCCTGTATTAAGGGACAAAACCTCTGATATGTTTCATATCAAAGTCCAAATGCAAAATCTGTTTGGGGATAACTGGGCATCTCTACAGAGAAAAAATAAAGAAAAAAATGTTATTTAAGAGCTTTTACTGTCTAACCTCTCCCCGTTCTGCTGGTCCACAACTGTATACAGCTGGGGAAGATGTACCTAGAGAGAAGTGGTACTGAAACTGGGTGAGGTGCAGACCTCTTGTGGCTCATCAGTCAGCTGGATGTAACTTCACTATTTTAATGGCCTTTTCCATGAATGTGGTGCATTTTTGTTTAGGCTGGACATTAAACAAAGTTAGTCCCTCTTCAAACAAGCACATGACAAGTGTTCAAACCATGAATGTGCACAAGCTTGTACATGCTGCATCCCCAAGCACTTGAACCCATGGTGCACCCAGGAAAGTAATGAACCTTGTGGTTCAGAGTGATACTTCCAAATTCCCTGTGAATGCTGCTATTACTTCCCACTTCCTTGTCAGTATTTTTTTGTTGGCACTTCCTTTTAGGAAGTTGGTTTAGCCTTTATCTACATGGCATGCTCACCCCTCCCTTCCCACTAGTGGATTTATTTCATAAAGATGATTACTCTTTTCCCCTCCCCTTCTCCCTGTGAACTCCTATTCCTAGAAGAGTAACACCCCTTAAAGCAGGCTTTAAGATTACCTGACTTGTGATGGACAGATTCCTGCATCTGTGAATTATATGAAGTATATTTCCTTTCATTAGAGAGAAACACCTTTCAACAAAATGCTCCATAAGGTGTACTTCCAAACACAGGAAAAAGAGTGAACTGTGCTCGCAGTCAGGGCTGTGTGGGGTCCTGTGCTCTTCACCTGACTACCCAGGAGTCCAAAAAAACAGTGCTGGTGAAAAGTTCATGCCAGGTACCACTCTGAAAACAGGTCAGCTGCTAGGAGATGCATTTTCTCTTCTGACCCCAAGAAGCCACTAGCAAGGATTGTGGTGCCTTCCTGATTGTAGCTAATAATACACTGGTCAGATTAACTTAACTACTGTTTAGCTGTTGAACCAAAGTATTTCCATTTGAGTTAAATTGAAAAGTCTTGTAATGTGTTTGAGTTCTTAAACATTTTCTTTCAACATTGCAGTTGAAAAGCTTGTCCAGTGTAAATGTGTAAATGCATTAAAATCACTCCGTTACTTTTGCAAGATAGAGGGATGTAAACATTTATAAAGTCACTTTTCAGTCAACATCATATTGGTCTGCAATTTCCCTTTCTGCTCTATCCTTCTGACAGAGCAGTATCTTTTACAAATACCTATGTCAAACTCATTTGCTAATAATCAAAAGGAGTAACTTGTAAGCCACCAAAGATGTCTTCTTTAGAGTCTAGCTAATAATTTTGCAAAATATTACTAGTGTCATGCAGCATCAGAAATTGCTGTATCCTCAGTACAAAGCTGTTAACAAGGCAGTTGCTTGTCTAACAGGCATTTATTGTTTCCACCTTTTAAATGGTTTATCTGAGCTAGGAATACTGTTAAAACAGTCTGAACAATTTTAAGGCTAAACCTGAACAGATGGATAAAATCAGCAAAGGACTGAGTCCTGTAAGGTAGAGTGCTCTGGCTCACCCTAAGACTCACTGCAATGGTCATACCCTAAAAACTGCAGCATCCCTAAGAAAGATTTGTGTTCATCAGAAAATGAATGCTGGGATCTCTGTAAGAGTGCCTTGTGCCCCTGGTGATCCGTAGCTACCAACCTCTAAACCTGCTGCTGTAAACAGGTCCCGAGTTCCTCCTACAGTCACACTAAAGCCATGATCCATTTCTGTCATTTTTGGAAGGAAACCCTTGACAGTCTGTGGGAAGAAAAAAAAAAAAGAGAATGTAATTTACGTGCAAATAGGCCTCTAAATTGTAAATCTGAATACATCTCCCTGTTGGGTCTCTTTTGCTGAAACTCAGCTGGGTCATTCACAGTCTTTATTCATTTCTAGTTTTAGCTGCAGGCTACAAAAATTCTGGCTCCACAACTAAACTATGGCAGTTTCTTTCTTACTGCCCTTTAATCCATTCCATGAACTTTGTGTTTGGAATTTTTCATATTCTAAAATAACAACATGTATGATTTGGCAGATGCTCATGAAGATTTTTTTTTAATACTCTGTCAGTGTGCTGTTTTATTTTCATTATCATAATGCTCCACAGTGAAGTTGCTGACCCAACAGTTCAGAGAAATCTTTTCATGGCTTTCTTGAGTAATACTTTTTTTTTTTTAATTATACTACAAAATTTTATGCTGGAAAATTACAATCTGTATTGGAAATTTCCTGAATATTGGAGGCATCTTGGGCTGGTCTTTTAGTTTTGATTATTATGTCAGGAAGGAATAGGGTACATCCCAATTAAAGCTTTGATTTCTTCATATTCAGTTTTGAATTTAAAAAACCCCTGAACGTAACAACGTAGCAGCTGGATGCTGGCACATGAAATATTTAATCATCCCATGAGATTAACAAGGTCTTGTTTAGCAATTCAGAAGCACCGCTTCTTTCATAAGGTTTCCCCTTTCTAGTGAAAAGAATGATTCTTTGCTAGCACTCAGTGTTGGCGTTTAGAAGAAGCTGAAAACATGTCCCTGTAAAGGCACGCATATAATACAAAAGCATTCTTCAGAGGTTATGATACTTTTAGAAAAATGCATGTGACTAACTGCCTTTTAATCTTTTACCTTCGCTTTGGCCACTCTTAGCTTAGACAGAGCAACTGCATCTGCCTGACTCATACACAAGCAAACACAGGGACACAAGACTGAAGAGGCCCTGCCCAGCACGCCGTTCTCTGCGGCAGCAGCGAATAACCACCTTGTGCGAGAAAAGTGTGTACCCGGCCAGTGGCCAAAAGTCCTGCTCATTGGCTGTGAAGCAAAGCTTCCCCAGGCTGGGGGCTCGGGCCAGCAATGCCCCACAGCACAGGCCCCTCTGCAAGTCAGTAACAAGAATTGGGACTTGCGTACATTCCAACTTTTGCTGCCTCTTGAGAACTTCCTGAGATCAATGAATCTTGCTACAATGAGCCCTGACTGAGTTGAAGAACTCATCTAGCTAAAGAGATTTTCAACATGGTTCTGCCAAGGAGACTAAAACCCAGTGACATAAACTAAATTTGATACTAAGCTTTGCTGCAGCCATTTAACATCCCAGACCTTCCCACTTTTCCTTCCTTGCCAAGCTAGACAACACAAATCACATTTACAGTTCCTTTTGCATTGTCCATGTAACATGGGTTTGCAGTATAACAAGATTAGTTTTCCCTGTAATCCTCTTAAAATGTCCTTCCTTTGATTGTCTTTTCATCTTTTGGTGTTCTGGAACTCTGATTAATAGGATTGAGATTTATTCTGCAAGTTCTGTTTGACAAACTGCTTTCAAGAATTAGTTGCCTACAAACACATTTAACTTGGAAAAAGCATTTGAATGGTAGCTGAATTATGCAGTGTTAGGCCAAAAATACTATAAAGCCTATGTATGTACTTGCAGTGTGTATGTCTGTACATACTAGTAGACGAGGTGAATAAAACAAGATAGGCTTACTTATTTCAGAGTGTCTAAAACATCTCACTTGGCTTCTCTAGGCAGATTTGCAGAGCCTTGTCTATATGTCTGCAAACTGACAAATTGCCGATGTGCCTTTTCTTGTTCTCACCACATTGCAAGGATCATCCTTGAACTACCCCTTCCGTTGGCCCCACAGGACATATTAACCTTGCAATCAGCCTGATTGGGTCCCCTTGTCACTGAATCACTGTTAGTTCATAGAAGCTCGATACCAAAGTAACAGCTGGTTTGCTGAAGCACTGATGTGACAAGTCACACAATGCCAACACTTCATACAACTCACGAGTGACTGACTGAACAGCTGTATCTGGTGCCTTGGCATAACCAGCATGTATTTTACAAATGAAAAAACTTAAAGCATGGAGCAATTACATGACTATGAACTAGTCTAAACCAGAGCTACTTATTGCAGAACTCGGGGTTGTTCAACTCCTGTGTTTAGCCCAAAAGACCACCCCGCTGATGTAAAATTAGCATATGGCTTTGTGCCTTTTCCCCTGGCTCTTAAACTTTGACTCCGTTTCAACCCCATCTCTTTAGTCTCATTCTAGTGACAGAAGTTCCTACCTTTTCCAGGAGGTGTTGGAGGGTGGGTGTCACAGCTGCAGAACATTTCTGAATCATACGGTGGCACTCCCTGCTATACTGTAACCACTGATGATGGATGAGATGCTGTGCTTGGCTGACCTTCCTGAACATGACTATACACACACTCCCTGCGTGTGTAGGACACTGAAAATACCTTCAGTGTGTGTTCAACAATGTCACGTGGCAGGTCTCCACTGATACGGACGATTGGATTCACATCCCACTTCCAAGGTCAATTTATAGCTATAAAATCAGTACACATGACAATGCTTGGGTTACAAGCCAGGCTGTTCTCATACAAGACACACCCTTTGCTCTCAATTCCTCTCCTTAGTGGCAAACTATGTAACACATTACTTGCCTGCCTATGGCCACCCTAAAGCAAAGTAACTGCTACCATGAGGTGTTCCCCAAACTGCAGTAGGTATCCCCACAGTGACACAAGCCCGAGCTGGAAACCAGTCACACACGGGCAGGGTCGGTGGGCCGTCCTTAAATTAACTGTTTGGGGGCTCCTGCTCTGGATTAAGGTTGGATTACAGGTTTGGTATTGCCACTGCATTTGTACATGTCACTAAACATCCCTGAACCCATTTTTTTTCTTTATAAAGAGAAAATAAACATAAAATTCTATTTCCAAAGCCACACTCGCCCACCCCAGCAAAGCACGTTAAACGTACTGATGGCCCAAACCCGGGGCACACGCAGCACTTGCCCAGTTTCAATCCCCGGCCCGTCCCGGCAGCGTGCGGTACCGCGTGTACCGACCCCCACACCGGGGCCCGGGGCCCCCCGCAGTGCCGGAGCCAGGCGGGAGGCCTGCAGCCACAGGGCCCACCTCCGAGCACGGGGACCGGCGAACCGCCTTCACCCGTCTCCTCGCATGACGCCCGGGCGTAACGGCGGCCCCGGGGCAGCCCGCAGGCACTACAGGCGCGCGCCGCCATGAGGTGAGCGGGGCCAGGAAGCCGCGGGGCGGCCCAGCGACACGTCCTGCCCTTCACCGCAAAATGGCGGCCCCGCTTGCCGGCCGCACCTCACGCTACCGGCTCCGGGCCCGCCGGAGCCGCGAGCAGACAACTCAACCCATCGCTCCGCCTCAAAGCACAAAACCCTCTCCGGGGAGCGCGGAGCATGTAACTGCCCAGCTCCGGCCGGCAGCCCGAGCGGCGCCGCCCAAGATGGCGCCGGAGCCCGCCCTCCCGCCTCAGCTCAGCGCGGGCGGGGCCGGGGCGGGCCCGCCGCCCCTATAAAGCGCCTCGCGCGGGGTCTGCTGCCCTCTTGTTCCGGCGCGACGGACGTGAGTGGGGGTGTGAGTGGGGCTGGGGAGGCAGGGTGGGGGTCTGGAATTTTCTCCTCTGCCCATTCCTCGTGGCTCCTTGCTTGAGCGGGCTTCTGGCGGCCGTTGGCGTCGCCTCCCTCCCTCCCTCCCTGCCTGCTGAGGGAGCGGCCGGGGCCGCGTGGGTTGGCGGCATGGCCGCCTCTCTGCTGAGCCTTGGAGGCCCCGTCCCCAGGCGATCTTTTCCGGGATCCTGCGGTATTCCCCGATCTGCGGCGGCCCTTCTCGGGAAGGTTTTTTACGGGTTTACCCGTACCCGCCGGGGAGGCGGGAGTGTGGCGCGGGTGTGCAGCCGTGGGGCACTGGCTGGTGCAGGTGATGACATTTTTTTCCCCGTCAGAGCGACAGTGTTGATTTCTCACTGTTCAAGCCAGGTCGTGTCTGAGGCACCAGCGGGAAGCGCCGCTGTGCTCCGTACCCTGGCAGAGCCCGGCGCTAACTCCTTGGATTTATTCACAGGGCCTCAATGAAACCTGATGCCGTGGGTCTGGTGTGCGATGAGGGCAGCTCTGCCATGCCTAGGCCTCCCGCAGGTGGGAATGGTAAGTCCTTAAAGTAACTGTTCCTCACTGGTTTAAACATACACACACACATATATTATTCTTTAAAGAGCTAACCGAGTTGCTTCTGCAGTGCTTTGTCAGGTTGGTGTCCCTGGATACTTGATAAATGTGTAGGTTTGACCACAAGCCTGGGAACAGTGGAGCTAACAGGGTTCCCTGCAGCAGAAGCCTTGTAGTCAGGCCCTTTGTGCATCATTTTGCACCCTTTGTGTGCAAGATGGCAGGTCCAGCAGCGTGAGAAATCTGCATCCTGGGAAGCGTGCTGAGTTGATGGCTCTGAGCCCTTCACAGGTGCCCTGTGGCTGGAGGACTGGGCCATGCTGTAGACAAGCGGGTGCTCTGCTGCAGAGCTGGCCTGGCTGTGGTGGGCCCCTGGAGCAGGGGCTGCTTCTGAAGTGTTAAAGGATAATAAAAAATTTGGTAAGCTGGATCAGTCTGTGTGGATGTACTTTGAAACAGGCAAGTGCATGAATATTGTCCCAACCTTGTGAGGCTAAACCGCATTGAGAGATATACAGGAATAGAACTAGTTAACAGGATGGGGCCAACAGATCTTTCAAAGAAGATGATGAACTAGATAAACACCAGCAAGCTTCCAAGTAAGAACTTTTGACAGGGCTCAACAAAAGTTCATTTACTCCCAACCACCAGAGGACAGTACAAACCACCAAAAGACCCTCTAAGAAACCCCTAGTAAATGCTTTATGCATGCTTAATAGATATGTAAGATAATGATTCAGGGGAAGAGCAGTGAATAGATATACAAATTCCAGGAAGTGATAGGAATATGTCTGTTTTGTAACAGTAAAAGTCAGAGCCATCCTTATGTTCAATGTGCATATTAGGAAGGGGGTTTCCCTCATGTGTCCAGTGGTGAATGAAGTAATGCCTGCTCTGTAATACTCGGTGTTGGAGAGTTTGATTCCTGATTTTGGTGACAGGAGCTTTTCTGCCCTGCCCCTTGCTGGAAGGTGTGTGGTGGTGGCTATGACATGTGCATGGCTGAGCTGCTCCCTCTGCCTGGGGTCTGGTGACTGGGCGGCATGTGCTGCTGCATGTGTGACCTGCCTTTGTAGTGGGAAGGCAGAAGCCTCACGTGGTGGTAAAGACTGGGCCTGCAAAAGTGCATAAGCTGTTACTTCTGCCTGCAAGCCCTTTTTCTATTATATCTGTCTTGTGCTCTGGTGTGGAAGCCCCATACAGCAGAGTTTTTCTCTGAACTTTTGCAGTATTTCCCTTGTCCCATGTGCCTCTTGAACATGCTGACCAGCCAGCTCTTTGAGGGGAAGGATTTGCATAAATTCACTAATTGCCCCTGGGTCTGCTAGGGGAAGGTGGGTGTGTGGTATGGCTACTGTGGGTGTGCAACCACATATGTCCTGGGGACCTGCTGGTGTAAGTGATGACTAAATTTTTTCCCCATCAGAGCGACACTGTTGATTTCTCAACTGTTCAAGCCAGATTATGTCTGATGCACCAGCGGGGAAGTGTTGCTGTGTCCCATACCCGGGCAGGGCCTGGTGCTGACTGTTCCCTTTGGCTTTACTCCTAGGGCACTGCAAGGGCAGAGGGGATGCTGAGCCTCTGGAAGACTGGATGTGATGGCTCTGTCTCGTAGTGGTGAATTGCATGATGAGGGCAGTTGCCTGGTTTGCTCCACCATGCCCGAACCTCTAGCAAGTCAGGATGGTAAGTTCTTAGAGTAACTGTTGATAGCTACTTTAAATTTAAAAAGGTGGTGGGTCTCTGAGATTTGATTGGTGTGTAAATTTTAACGTTAGCCTAGATAACTGTAGAGGTGACAGAACAGAGATTTCGCTCATGCAGAAACATTGTGACAAGGTCCTTTGTGCCTTGTGTTTCTCCTGTTCCAGCGTGTCCAAAATGGCAGATGTGGCTAGTGAACAGGAGCCAGGAGGGGAAGGAATCTGCAAGTTGCACCAATGTGTAGACTGAGCTGGAACAGGATGGTGGCTTACAGCTCAGTCGTGTTTGTTTCCCTGATACGTTTTTAGAGAGGTCGTTTTAAGGACACCTTACATGGAGATGTGGATTACCTGCTGCTCAGAGCAGCTGCCCCAGTGAGGGACAGGGACCGTCCTGGCTGAAGTGTCTCCCTTTGGAAGAGAGGTCTCGAGTCTTTTCTGCCCTGTCCCATGCTGGCCAACTTGAGGGAGTGTGAGGGGATTGCAGATGTTGTTAGCATTCAGTGATAGCCATATGTTTGCATGGCTTTGCTACTTTATCTGCCATTAGTTCACTCGGTCCTTGTGGATCTGCCAGGGAAGGTGGGAGTGTGGCACAGCTGCTGTGAGTGTGCAACCACATAACTCCTGGGGACCTGCTGGTGTAAATGATGACTAAATTTTTTCCCCATCAGAGCGACACTGTTGATTTCTTAACTGTTCAAGCCAGATCATGTCTGATGCACCAGCGGGGAAGTGTTGCTGTGTCCCATACCCTGACAGGACCTATGCTAACTGTTGCTTTTGGCTTTACTTTAGGGTGCTGGCAGAGGGAGTGATGAGCCTCTGGGAGCCTGGATGTGATGGCTATTGCTGGCAGTGATGAATTGTATGAGGGCAGTTTCCTGGTTTGCTCCATCATACGTGCCCGTCTGGCAGGGAAAAATGGTAAATCTTTGATCCACCTATATTCACTGGTTTGAATAAAAAAAAAAGGCAGGGGTGGAAACTCCTTTCTGCAAGTGGGTTGCTTCTGCAAGGCTTTGACAGGTTAGTGTTGCTAAAGATTGGACAGATCTGTAGATTTGAGCATTGCAGCAGGGGCCCTTTTAAGTGTTGGACCTGAGTATCAACACCTGTTGAAATACTCAGGTTTCCTTTTACCATCTTTCCTGCAGGGATTAATACCTTGTCAGTTTTATGGACATGAAGATTTTTCAAATGTAACTGATTGCCTTTTAATGTTCAGCTGAAGAACATCTGTCATGATTACTTCAGACTTTTCCCCCCCCCCCACCAGATTGGCAATGTTGATGTAAACTTCTGTTTTAGCCAGATTGCCTGAGTCCACAGATGCAGGAGGCTTCAGTTCATGTATATTGAGGCTCTGTGCCCTTGCATTTCTATTGTGGAGAAGCTACATATGCAGGGCATGCTTTGAGGGTGAGCAGCACTGGAGGGTGCTGTCTGCACATATAGTAACACTGTATAGCACAGCCTGGCATGCATTAAAGACTTGAGGATCAAAAGTGAAAGAATTCTTGCTAAAGTAAATGGTGTAGAGAGGTCTGACAGGTTTCAATTGAACTTTAAGGGCATAGGCACAGCTTTTCTGTGTTGCCCCAATTAAGCAGCATTAAAATGAGGTACTTCTTGCAGAATTAGGGAGCTTTTGTTCTTTATATTTTTTCTTGCCCCTCTGAATGGGTGGTTCACAGTGCCTTGGAAAAGTGGATGAAAGTCAGCTTCCAACAGTGTGCCTATTTGCAAGAGAGGGATTGCTTTTGGTGTTGTCTTTGTTTTTTTAATAAAGATCAGTGATGTGACATCGTCTGAAAGCTTGGCTGCTTGATTAAGATTTCACTAATTCTCTAGAAAATGTACTTAGCAGAACTTCATTGGATAAACAGCTATTGTCACTGACTTCATTTGTTTACAGCCTTGTGTTGCCATTCAGGTGCCTGTTATGCAGCTATCGTATCTACAAGGAGGCTGACATCTTCATAGTGTGTATCTATGAAGAGCATAAATGCAACCTTTCTATATGGCACTCTTGAATTCAGAAGTATGAGTGATCTGTGTCAGATGGCGAATATGGTAGAGCTGACCAACTATGTTCCTCTGGCACTCCCTGCTCAGTCAGCTCCTCAGGTGTTGATCAAGTACTACTCTAAAAGCTCCCACAATGCAGTTTTAAGAGTGCATCCTATTTGGAGTGCCTGACAGTGAAGAAATTTTTGCTGTTTGCAGAGCAACCCTTGCTGTGTAAGAGGTTTTTTGGGGTGGGGATTTGAAAGCTACGTATTTGCTGTTTGTGGTAGAGTGGACTGACAAAATGTTGGCTGTTCTCTTGACAGGTTGAGATTTGTCAGAAGTTGTCTGGGGACCTGCTGTGATATCAGGGTACTTAGCAGAAAGTGGCCTGCTGCTGATGTCCCTCTCTGCTGCTGCCTGTGATCCCTTGTCCAAGAGCATTCACATCATCCTGGAACATCTCTGGTCTTTTCTCAGGGCTAGCAGGAGTGATAAATTGGTGTCCTGCCAACTTACAGATGAAATGTGTTGTATTTTTCTTCCCCTTGGTATTGAGGCATTTAACTGTAATAGATTCTGGAACTTGATGCATGTTTAATGTAATTGGTTTCTTTTGTCTGCAAGAGCTGCATTCACCACCTGATAGCTAATGTTATCTTACCACAATCATTAAAAGGAAGGAAGCTTCTCCTTGGAGAGCAGTTGTCAAGTATGGGAGGATGGCTTTCCGTGTAAGGAGAGGGGAGATTCAAGTCTTGGCTCTCCCCTGTCATCCAGAAAGCTTTAGTAATGTGTCATTGGCAGCCTGTGAAGCAGGAAAGGGGCAACGTGGATGCTGCAGCTCAGTATTTCTGTACTGTTTAGAGCCTATTTTTAATAAAATCTGCATACTGTGTGAATTCAGCTGGTGGCTGAAACTCTGTATACCTTTAACAACCAATTTCTGGGCCTCCTAATTGTTCTGGGGAGTTGGATGACAACACTGCTTCTGTGTAGTGATTACTTATGTGGAGCTGCTTGCTGCCTCAGGATAGGAGAAAGGGGCAGTACAGCTTCACACACCCTGAGGTAAAAGTGCCTAGCAGAGACTTGGGGCTGCTGCCGTGCTGCAGGAAGTGTGGGTAGGGTGCAGTTCTCTAACAGCTGGGTGCTAAAGGTCAACAACAGGTCTGTGTTCTGGACCAAAGGGAGAGGTGTAGTCTGCACTTTGCCTCTGGACAAGGTTTTTCCCTGAGATCCCGTGGGGAGCAGCTGGTGTAGAACATGATTCAGTGGGCATTTTGGCTGGCCTGGTAAAAGATGCAGATTAGTGTGTTCTCAGGTAGGTCACAGTTTTTGCACATTCTTCCATACATGAGTCTGACAGAAAAGTTACAGCAGTCTGGGATGGAAGGGAAGCTGATCTCAGGATTTGGCCATTTTGCTCATGCAATGTGTTCAGCTCCCAGGAATGGCTGCTTCTGGCTAGAGAAACTTTGTGGCAGATGTTCATTCAAATCCTGCAGCCTTCCCCTGCATGCTGTTTGGCAAACTTCCAGGTTTCCAGAGCAGAATTAAATGCTAATTGTACATTTGTGCTGAAGTAGGGAACCACTAAATGAGAGGAAGCTTAAAGGACTTCCTAATACCAGAAAGGTAGTTAAGAGCCCTAAAATGTATTGCTGTACCTCTGACTTCCATATCCCGGATCAATTGACTGGATACATCTGGCCTCAGTAGGGGTGAAAAATGTGTGTCAATGTACCTGTGCTGCACACGTGTAATGTCTGCACATGTAGAGGGGCTGGATGGTGGCAAGTGTTCTGCAGGGAGAGAGAAGGCATTCTCCCATCTGCTGTGCCCATTAGCCTGGCAGTCCAGAGTGATGTCTGCATGATGCACAGTCACACTAGGCCTTGGCAGACATCTCATGCAGGCCCTGGGCTGCTAACATTTGTACACCCCACTGGCAATGCAAATGAAATAAACAGTCCCTTCAGATCAAGCTGATGTGAAGAATTGAGATATATATTAACCTGCAGTGTCTTAGACATGGGGTTCAGATTCAAACCCCAGGCCTAGTGATGGAAGTAGCTGTTCTTCGCGTGCTGCTGTTGGGAAGTAGTGCAGCAGGTATGTGCATTAGGGATGGGGTTTAAAACCCAACCCTCTGCAGCCTCACTGGGTTCCAGAGGGGCAGGGTCACCGGGCAGCTGCTGAAGGTTCCTGTGTTGCTGCCTCTGGGCCTGTGGGAGCCTGTAACTGGTGGGTCATGCATGCTAAATACCAATGGAGGCGCTGCAGTGAGCTAGGCAGCCCAATGGTGACAGGTCAGCTTGAAGTAGCTGAAGGACAAATGTGAGGCATGGATAATGGCCTGAGAAAATGTCTAAGGAATGATTTTTCTGCAACATTTGAAGTACTGCTGTGTTATTTTTTACTGCCTGGTAGCAACAGCCTTATTAATACTTACAGATTGGAAGTTATTTACAGCAACAACAAGTTTTGAGGGTATTTCTGCTAGTAAAAGGCATAACTAATAGTTTCAGTGGTTATGGAGGGGATTTGATATCTGACCTGATAGTTGCCTTTGGCATGTATATTAAGTAGGAAACAGCAACAAGGGAAGATTAGCTATTAATCAGCATTCAAAGCAGTCTTCCATTAAACTGGGTAGAAATTTTTTTCTCATTCAGTTAACGTAAGCAGCATAATCTCGAAACAACATTGATGAGGGATCAGAACTGGTGTTACTATGATTACTTTTATAACTTAATGAACGTATCTACCAGCAAGCATACTTTAGGGAGTGGAGAGTGCTGGTTTTGTCCAGTGGGAGCTGTAAGGACAGATGTAGCTGGAACATGGATTTTGCATGTATTATTACCTCTTCAAGAAAGTTGCTCACGTCAGGATTCAAGCACTGCTGCTATTGCACATATGCATTGGGATGGAAGACAAAACCGAAGACAATGGTAGAAACCCGTGAATACTTTCTAGTCTGGATAAAGGGGCTAGTTAGATGGAAGAACTGAAGGAACAGTCTGGAGATTTCCTCTGACCTGGCAGCTGTAGAGGGTGCTGTGTGCATGTGTTGCCCAAAGATTAGTAAGGACCAGATGGAATTTCTGCATCAAACTTTGAGTTGTTCCATGAGTTATATAGTCAGGATGCTTCCACCTTCTTACTATAACAGTGTGCTGTAATAAACCTCTGAACATTAGCTTATCTGTAAGACTAAGAAGTGTGACAAAGTGGAGACAAACCCTAAAAGTAATACCTGAACTTGTCAGAGGCTTTTATTTAGACAAGTAGAGGTGGAGGAGGTCTTCTGTATTGATAGGCTTTTGCTTCAAAGCTTTAATCTGCTGGAGTTTGATACGCCTGCAAGCAGTTGGGCACCTTAGGTGTGGCTTCATTTTACATCTGTCTCAGAGACCAGTGAAGGATAGTCACAGCACGTCCAGAGCTCGTATTGTGCTGCTGTGAAGTGGCTAAACAGGGCAGTGAGGATGAAGGCAGAATTGTCAGTTATAGCAGGAATAGACAATGCTGTATGTACTTGTGTATCTTTCTAAAACCGAAATCTAAAGTCACTCGCTAGGCTGGTATGTTTAAGCAAATGTTTACTTTTCTCCAGCAGCTCTGTTTCTTGGTGCCATGAGCATTTGAGAGGAAAATAGCACAGATTATTTCTCTGTCTGATGTTGCTTTTAATAGACATGTTTTCATACACAGTGAGAGGTTTAACATTTATATTCCCAAAGACCCAGGCATTTTTTTGACTGGCTGGTGATTATTATATTATTTTTAAACCCATCTGTTAAGTGGCTGCATTAGCTTACAGGATAGCACAGTCCATTTACTCGTTGCTTTTCTACTCTTTGAATTATGTCCTCTGCCTCCATCTCTGCTCAGTGATAGATTATTTGACACATCAGCTGTGTTGACAGGCTGGATATTATCACGGACAGCAAAGAAGCAAAACTTGGGTTTGTGATCGCCCCAGGAAGATCCAGATTTCAGGTCACTCAGACTGCCCCACAGGTAGTAAGGGGAAGACTCTTCTTTTGAAGCAGAGGGTTTCTTTCTCCTGCAGCATCCTGAGTTTTAACAATATGTTCTGCAGCTGTAGACTTCTGTTCCTCTTCCACCCTTTTTGCCAGATCCCTTGCAGTGGTGGGGTGAAGCTACGTGTCCTGGTTCAGCCCTAGTCTGTTTTGTCACCGTGGGAACTACTGGTTTATTATAGCACCTCAGGTTCACAGGCACTTTCCCATCCAAGCATTGGGCACAGGGTGCAGATAGGGCTGAGGCCCTTTGGCACTGCACTGGCTGTCTTCTGGCAGCCTTCATCTTGCAGACAACTGCAGTTTATGTCCCTCTGCTCCCTGCTGTGACTTTTCTTGCTCAGGCCGCCTGGCTGATGCTCCAGTTAAGCTAACTGTGCAGAGGAAGGACTGGTACTCTCTCAACAGGGTGAGCAGAGAGGGGACAGTGAGAGCTCTGGCTTTCTGCCGAGGTTCCCTGCACACACCACCAAAATCTCCCCTTTGCCTAGTGATATCTACCAGAGGCTGTTGCTAAAGCCTTCTCAATTGTTCCACAGTAAATTAAACTCTGGAGAAAAGTGATAGAGATTGTTCTCTTCATCTTTACAGAAACAGGTACTCTGAGTTCTGAAGAAATTCTCTTCACCTGTTTCTCTGCTCAGTGCCAATGTGAGGCTAGCAAGGACTGGGTGTAGCCCCTGCCACAGGCCTTCCAGTGACTGAAATGGGCTTAAGTCTTTTATAATGTGGATGGGAAACACCTGACAGCTTGCAGGTAGTAACAGAGTTGTCTTGGTGATGGGTAAAAGTATTCTTTGTGCTAAACCATATTCATCATGTAAATCAAAGCAATTCCATTATATTCCCTAAGATTGATTTGGATTCACGGAAGCAGGTTCAGGACCATTTCTGTGTTACCTGGGAATCTGCATAACTGTAGTGGTATATTTAGAACAATGTCCACTGGATAGTCTGCATTTCACTGTGCCTGTCACTTTCTCTGTTCAGTTTTGAATGCTGTGGCTGGGTCACCTTGAAGTCCTCCCTTTAGAGCTGAGAATAAACTTGACTTCCTTTGTCTTTTCCCAAAGCAAATATTAAAGCCAGGGGCTGCCCTCATTTCTCTACCTTGCACAGACTCCCTCGGGTTCATGTAACCTTCCTCAGTGAGGATGTCCAGGACCAGGGAGACTTGGAGATGTGGTCTCAGCATTGACTGCATGAAGAAGCAAGGCAAGTTTTCTGCCTCTGACAGGGTGTCAAGTGTCTTCTCCATCTCCTCCAGCGGGCTGAGGAGGCTCAGTTGGTGCATGAGGGTGGTAGGTAAGCAGATGCAGCCCCACGTGGTGTTGCTTGCCCAGATGGATTCCCTGAAGCCTGTCCATGAAAGCCGCTCTCTGAAGGCAGGGCAGTATGTCAGCACCCAGGGGCTGGCCCAGAGCAGCACACTCACTTTCCATTCCACACATGCTCGCATTTCCCGCTGTGGGTGGCCGCAGTGTCTTCAACAGCCTACTGCTTCTGGTTCAGGGCTGCTCTTTGAAAGGGTGAGGCTTGTGCTTTTGATCCTCCCACAGATACTGGAATGCTTGCACAGAAGTCCAGGATAGAGTCTGGCCTGTAGACAGCAGCTAACTTCTGGATACCATTTCTCAGAAGAAATACTAAGCTTCACCTCTGCCCTTGTTTACCAGCTGGGAGTATGTGCACTTTCTTTGTGCTGCACAACTGCGGCAATGGTAGACATTGCCTTACCCCTACCAATTTCCCAAATCCAACTGAAGGGTTTAATGGCCTGCTGGTGAAGAAAGATGTCTGCTATCTCATGCAAATAGTTGCAAACCATCTGCAGGCTCACAAGAGTGTTG